AGGAAGCTGAGCATAACTCAACCTACTTCGAATTTAAGAGTTGTATAGTGGTTTACACAAAAAGGATAGAAAAAGAATGAAGACAAGTGGGAAGCATATTTATTAAATCGTCTTCAATTTACAAGCCAAATTTTTTAAACATGTTTGGTATATATTTAGTTAACCCAAGTGTAGGAGTGGTCAACGAAAATTTGAAATTTCCCTGTTAGTATACGCCCAGGAACAAATCATCAGAACCTCTTTTAAAACTGACTGCTTAATAGGCAAATCTAAATAAGTTTTCGGAATTTTCAACAGCTTCCATAATATTGATTACGTTTTGTCAGAAAGTCTAACACAGCAAATTCAAACATATGTGGAAAAGTGAATTGTTATAAACAAACAAGGCCTAATATAGATCAATCGTTCTAACATATGCGTACATGCACAAGGTTGGTATTAAAAGTGTATGAAGCAGAGCAATTACAGGGGCTCCTCGGTGGAAAAAAGCGGAAATAAATGTCCAACTTCTTGCAAATAGAGATAACACATTATTAATCACTAGCTGTTTTTTCGCAGTAAGTGACCTGTCGAAAACCAATTGATATTAAATAATGGACCCAAGTACCATACTAACGATGCTGATAAAGTGCACTGTTTTTTAGCATTCTTGTGCTTGTTTATCGAGGTACTGTGTAGTCTATTTCAAAGATTTTCGGACATTTTCATGCTCAGGTAAGATGCCGTTTCACATCGGTCAATAAATACCAAATCTTCCGTATATGGACTTCTAAATATTTATGTGGATGAATGGAGTTGTTTACGAAGTATTAGTGCTGTTCATACTTTTAACCCTTGGATCATTTCAGGTACAACTCATATTTCACATGACGCACTTTTAAGAATCCCCTAATGAGTTGTCCTAGTCTGTATTTAAATATTTACAAATATCCCATTACACGTACTCCCAAACCAACCTCATTTAAATCCTTATTAGTAATGAAGAGAACACTCATGGCACGATATACCGACCAAATTTTAGTGACTTTTGACTCAACAGTTACTTTGTTCTTTTCTACACCCGCTGACGGAAATCCGGATATATCTCTATACTAATGTATTGGATAATGCTAAGTTGTAAGGTATGCTTAGAGTAAATATTGTTATCCAGACAATGTTCATACATAGTATGACCTGTTATTTTCAGTAGTAGTCGCTTATAGTTTTTTCACATAAGTTTAAAATCCTACACTTACCAGGTATTATGTGTACACTGTGCAATGTCATGCTTTCTAAGCATAACAATGAAAAAAATAATTTCGTACTTTGTTATTATGAAATCCGATCAATCATTTTTATTCACTGAAACAATATGCTATAATAATTCTCAAAAACACAAAGCCTTGACATAAATCAATAAACAAAGAGGATGTGAGAGTGGAAGATAGATTATAACAGAGGAGATTATTACAGTCTTGAGCCATTTATCTAGATACTGCAAGAAAAACACTAAGATGTAAATATAAACTAATGTCCTAAGTCCCAATTTATTAAACCCGATCAAACACCGTTATAAAGCAGTCCGATATCTGAGAAGTAGAAAATGGACAATAAGTGTGTCGGTTAAAGTCGCCACATGACATCAAGAGAGAAGAATTCCAGATTACTAGATGTGAAAACAACAGTGGCAGTCGAAAAAATAGTACATGGACAGTACGTTTTGAGTTGAATGGACCCTAAAATTTTGTGTATTGTGAATTATAACATATATAAGCGAAAAGTATTGTTTCCAGTTAGATTCTCATCAAGCTTTATATTATTACAACTCCGCCTGTAGCTCTCATGGAGTTTCTGCCGATCCTAAGTCCGGGTAAAGGAGGAGGGTTGGGCATGGGGTTAGCGGCCCCATCCCGTGGAAAACTAAACCGCTAAAAAACGCTAGTCGGGAAAAGTAATTCAAACCTTTTAAACTCTGCTTTGGGACTTGAAGGAAGAATTATAACGCCTTAGGATGGAAGCTGAAATTCTTCGGAATTCACAAGGCCAATGCCCCTTCTAACAACCAGGGCAACAATTAACATAGGTACATGGAACGTCCGGACAATGTGGGAGACCGGGAAGACCATTCAAACAGCAATGAAAAAGAGGGAATGCTTCACCTTCTATTCAAGGAGATTTGGGAGTAAGAACAATTGCCACTGACATACTGGAAAAAAGGATGCTTCATCAAAGGAGATCTGAGCAAATGTGAGAATTACAGAAGCATCACACTGTCGGCTCTAAGAAAATTTTTCAAGTGTTGCAAAACCAGATGAAAGACTTAGTTGACGCCCGACTTTGAGATCTACAGGTTGGATTCTGTAAGGATTAGTCCTACACAGACCGAATCGCGACATTACGGATCATTATGGAACAATCGCTTGAGTATAATTTGTCACTGTGCATCAACTTCATCGACTATGAGGTGCTTGACAATGTAGACCGGAGAACATTATGGAAACTTCTTCGACACTGTAATTCCTGAGAAGATAGTCAACACTACCCGGTACTCATACGATGGACCACAGTGCAAAGTGGTGCATGGAGGACAGTTGCATTCCCAGTAAGGAGCGGAGTCAGACAACGCTGTCCACTCTCTTATGGCGATTGACTGGATTATGAAGACCTCCACATTTGAGGGGATGCACAGAATACAATGGACATCTCAGAATCAATTAGACGATTTGGACTTCGCATATGACCTAGCCCTCCCATCCCACACACATCAACAAATGCAGGTTAAGATAAAGTGTAGTACCAGCATCTGCATCAGTAGGCCTCAAAATACACAAGGGGAAAGCCAACATCATCATATACAACACGGAGAACGCCAAGCCAATCACACTTGATGACGAAACTCTGGAAGATGTGGAAACATTCGCGTACCTAGGAAGCATCATTAATGAACTAGGAGGATCTGATATAGATATAAGAGCGAGGATTGGCAAAGCATGGACAGCATTCCTACAGTTGAAGAACATATGGAACTCAAAACAACTAGTTTCAAAATGAGAATATGCAATATGAACGTCAAGACTGTCCTACTGTACGGAGCTGAAACGTGAAGAACTACTACAACCATAATCAAAAAGTTAAAGCATTTATAAACAGAAGTCTACACAAATTACTCAATATCCTTTTGCCAGATGCTATCAGCAACAGCTCATTGTGAGAAAGAACAAAAAAGCTCCCATCTGAGGAAACTAGGAAAAAACGTTGGAAGTGGAAAGGACATACATTAAAGAAATCATTAAACTGCATCACAAGAGCTAACTTGGATTTCTTAAGGGGAAACGAAATAGAAGGTCAAAGAACACACAGTGGCGGGAATCGGAAGCAGATATGGATAGGATGAATAACAAATGAAAAAGACTGCCCAGGACAGGGTGGGATGGAGAATGCTGGTGGGCAGGTATGAGTCACAATAATGCACAAGAATATTCATTTCATACGAAGTCCACAAGTCAGAAATTCTCAAACCATAGTCATAGGATTATTATCGCTATTTTATATCGGTCTGAGTTACTTTTATCTTACCGTGCTAATCAGATGTGGGAACTAGGTCCATAGCAAATCTGACAGGTTCTATATTGACGACGTTTATCTATCACATCTTGGATTGGCTGGCCTGTTATTGATAACCCACTCTTTCATTGGATGCAGATATGAGTGGTGGTCAGGAATAAATTATATATATATATATATATATAATTATCCAGTTTTGATTTCAGTACAGCTTGGTTTAAAAATATTCGTGAAATGGTACTTAGTTCCAATTTTGGATTCTACATATATTCATCCAAGAACTTTGAATGAATCTCAAGTATACTAGGTCGTAAAACGTCAAAAATACATTTTACTTGTTTTCACATTTGAAATATCGGACGTTTACGCCAATTTACCGTCATATATTCTCAATTAGCTGTGAAATAATGGCAGGTAGTTAACAAAGTAATATCTCTTGACCCGTAAAATTAAACTATGGAATAACAACCACTTGACAAGCTGTTACAGACTTTACGCTGCTTCTAATCGATAAGTTGATCAGGACTTCTTTTGGAAGCCTATATATCGTCTGCCTTCAAATAGCTGCTAAAATCCGTAGTTTTTGCAAATAGAAAAAAACTTCACTTTTGTCTATTTCGCACAAGGGATTCAAAACTTATCTTACTAAAAGAATTTGAATTCATCCTAATTTTGATCTATTGACTGAAAAAAGAACTAACATATTTTACAGGCATTATTTTTTGCTCTGTGCATTCTTTTTGAACGAAGAGAAATGATAACAATTTATTGAGAGTTGTACATTACATAACGAAACAACCAATAGGAATAGGTTAGTCCGAAAAATAAGATAACTTATCCTTTTTCAGGGTTTACTATACCATTTCATGACGTGAAAAACCTTATCCAACAATAAGACCTTGTGTTTAGATAAATAAAGAACCGACTTCTAGGATTCTTCAGATATGAATTATATTTCTGCCTAAACATAAAGAAACCTCGTTTGACCACAATGAACTACATTTCACTGTATTTGCTCAACCCATCTCAATCAGTCTACAGGATGAGGTTAGAGCCTTTAGTCTATTACCTTTTTTCTTAACCACCTACTTGAATGTGATGTATTGCAACTAATTAGTAGGTTACTACTACATGATCTAAATCATTACACAGTATCCTCACCACCTAACACATAGTCCAGTTGGTCTGTATTCTACTGAAACCCCGTCATTTAGATTATACTGTCGGAATCCCCTTGCCGGACGCTCGAAAACTAGTACTATTGATTCTATAAGTAGACAAATGTGTACATTGCATACCAATGAGCAAACTCGGCAAACCATTTTACGAAACTCAATATCAAATGAAGACTAATTGTGAAAAAAATCGAAATAGCTGTCATTACCACGCTATTTTACACATCCAACAAACAATACTGCTTTATTAAACACTGGCCTGTCGTAACATAAGACGATACTCCCGGTATGCAATATATTAACACTTGAGAAAAAACGAATACAAGTAACCTTTCAAATTTATTGGATAACTAGAAGGCTGTTGTAGGTCTTCTTGTCGTAAACCTTGGATGGTGAAGAGGACGACTCACACGATGAGGCAGAGGGAATTTCAATTTGCTGTCGTGGAACTGTGTGACATATGGACGACGACACTTAGATGCTGGTAACGACTCTACTCTAATCACTTGTATAGATTCTGCTCGCGCACGGTGACGAGCACCCATCTCACGGTATAATTGAGTTACTGCATTCTCCTCCGTCAGAGCGCGATATTCCTTGTACATATTGTGCGTTCCTGATCGACTATCATATCTCAGCCAAATCCCGAAATTCTTGACCATCAATGGCTTTCTTGGGTGTATCTGTGATGTAAATTGCAGTAAACATAATTACTAACACGCATAACATTGAGATAAGCTATAGCTGATAAGTATAAATATACGACTATCAGCTTTACTATACGCACCACTATTAGCTTAGATGAAAATCTAAGCCGGTAAAGGTGCAATTACAACTGTACTCATAAGAAACATTCACCGTCACTTACATTTACACAAGAATAATTTCGCTCACACGAGAGCAATTATTAACGACTATTTAATAGCGATAAAATATGGCTGATAAGCGTAAATATACGACTATCAGCTTCATTATACGCACCACTATTAGCTCAGATGAAAATCTAAGCCGGTAAAGGTGCAACCATAACACAATCTAGTGAAAATACATTTACAAATACTTATCTGTCAAAGGCTGATGTTGCTTCAGAAAATCAACTTACCAGAGATCAACTATCAATGACTACACACACTGGATACGAAGCATAACTCAGATCGAATCATACTCATGACAATACACTATTGAAAGCCTTACATTTTCATTGGTGTTTACACAAGCAAGAGACTGGGTTTATGAAATGATGAAGAACTACCATACAATCAAGAGTGCCCGTTTAATAGAAATGGAGAATCATCACTATAAAACGGGACGGTAAGAACTTGACAATTTAGTGGCTACGCTAGGTTAGTACGAGCGATTACAAAGCTAATGTTTAAGGTGAATATGTAATTTATTGTGTAGCTCAGCAAGAACAGCTGCGAAAGTACGGTATCAACAGATACCAACCATTGTATGGCCTAATGTATTGGAATTTAACACTACTATATATTGAAATATAAATAACTAAAGTCAAGACAGCACAACACATAGTGGACCATAACTTACTCTTTCACAAGAAATTATCTCACCGCTACCTTTCTTCATTTTTTTCAGCTTTCTAATGAAATACCAGAAACGTGATTTGGCTACAACTGAATTAGGAGCAAATATCCGCATTCTGTAAGGGACAGGTTTCGGCTCTTTAGGTGTTGGGAGCTTACGGCCTACAACGGAAAACAGTTTTAGCTAAACCACATATGAGACAGGAACTTATGCACAAACCTCGCCACTTGCACGCATGATGCCAACTGTTTGAAGGATATTTGCCGCCCTGTGAGGTCAACTAAACAAAACCCAAACACAAAGCCATAAAATATTGATTAAAAACAATCGGATTTTTCTGATCACGTATTTTGAGAATAGATGAGTGGGCATCTATACCACGATTTTCCTAGTAAGCATCTGCAGATTATTAATCACCCAAGTGACTTCGAGCTCAGGAACTGTAGCATCTAAATGAGTACTTTTCTCCTAGCCCAGACATGATTTATTCTGTTATATTGAGTAAAAGAGCCTCAACCTAGGCAAAATCGCTCAGTTAGATGCTCTCATATTCACTAAGTCGAGACACAGCACCAGATAATTGGGAGCTGGCTCACATTGCACCAATTCTATAAAGGAAGTCGACACGACGAACTTTCAAGCTACCGGCTGATAGCATGTCTCTCTTTACCGTCCAAAATTATGGGGCTTTTGATAGGTAGTGGTCTACGTGACCACTTATTTTACACAAATTTCTTTTCACCCCAACATCCCTGTTTCAGGGAATCATTCCTATATAACTAGTTTGCTGACCTAGGTGGACGGACGAATGACCGTCCTGCATCGCAAGGATAGGTTGATCTTATACAACTTAACTTCTCAAAAGTTTGTGACGCAGTTAATCATAAATCTTTTACCAGTAAGCTCAAACGTATAGGTATCAGGTCACAATTAATCAATTACCTTAGTTCATAACTAAATAATCAACATTTTAGGGTCACAGCAAACTACATTTTTCCTCCGGCTACGGAATGTTCTGCTGGTGTCCTCCAGATTTCAACACTAGGGCCTCTCTCCTCTTGATTTATATAAATGACCTTTCTCAAAATGTGTCGTCTGCTTTATTACTCTTCGCTAATGATGTGAAATTCTGAGAAAAGTTTGCAGCCAAGATGAAAACCTAGAATATATGGAGGATCTAACGTGACTTCAAAGTAGTCCATCTGAGAAATGTTACAGTCTTCGACCACAGTTTAGATAACTCTTCTCTAAATGTATATCAAGTTGGAAAAGATAAGGGAGTTTGGGTATGCTATAATCCAAAGTATCACACTAACTGTGACGACAATGCCTTTCGAGAAAACCTTGCACTAATAGCGTTGAAAGGCATTTTCAGCCAATTTGACGATAGAACTTTCCAACAAGTCTCCAACAGTCTTGTTCGACCCTATTTACGGTCGAAAAATGTAGTATTTTCTACCTCGCTTCTGAAAGGCAGGAATAAACTGGAGCGTTATTGGAGTTGAGAAACGAAATCCGTTCGAGGGCTCGAATTCAAGTCTTATGAATAGCGCCTCAAATCACTGAATCTTTACCAATTAAAGTACAGACGTTTCAGGGGTTGTCTAAAGACGTAACATATTAAACACTCCTGAGCATCACCTTGGAAACCTACTTCAGCTCAACCACAACCCAGGAATTGAAGATAAAACAGCAGAACGGACTATAGGTACACACTTCAAAAGCTGTCGAATTCTACGATTCGTGGCCGGTTAAGCTAGTCCAAGCGACTTCCCGAAATTCCTTTAGAAGAAAGCGATATGTACCTAGTGACTAACGAAAATTTACTAACACCTCTCTATTCCTTATTAAATATACCCAGGTTTATGACTGGCGGCTTCAGTGATCGACAGCTATTAGATACGGAAGAACGTAAGGCGAAAGCTCCTGAGTTGATGTTCTACAAACCAATACGCTTACTGTACACTCGAATATTTTACTTTGTGCTTAAACCTATAATAATAATACAATAAAACTTCACATTGCATACTTAAATTCTGAGTTCTTGATCGTGTCTTTTTGAGGTCCTAAACTCGTTGCGATCAGTTCTGTTTCGTTTTATTATTACGAATTCACAATGTGTTTCATTATCTATTGTTGTTACTGGCTTACATGGGAAATGCGAAGTTATCTACGACGAAAATACTACTCCATCATGTCACGGACGGATCAATTGTGGGGCAGTCATACCCTCAGTTAATTCTGTAGCAAGTTATTCCGAAATACCAGCAAGTGAGTGACTACATAAACGAAAAAAATAACCGCAATTACTGACTGCCATACACTTGAATGACTTCCTTCCTACTACGAATAATGTACTAACTCGCTTGCTTAGGTTCCGCATTCAACATAGTCTGAATTAAGAATTACGTCTTCATAATTGTCTTTGGTGGAATTTTGTTCTCTGAGCTAGGTGGTTTGGTTGTGGAGCTTTCGTCGTTATTCTGAACGACTTCATCAGCACAAACTTCAGGCAGGAGTGAAGTGCTCGAATTTCTCCACATATGGCTCACATCTTGTCCTGTAGACCTCGATTTTGATTGTTTATTATTGTTGACTTTTAGCCTGTTATTGTTTACTTCTTTGTTTTGATTGTATCTCCCATTGATTTGATTATTGGTCCTATATTCCTCCTAATTGTCACCCTTTTCTCTCTGTCCTTCACGATGAAAACCTATGAATCAATATTGCGAAGTATTTTGGACTAGTGCGTCCGTGGAAGATACACCAAATCATTCGAATAAATGAACGGAAGTGGTAATTTCTCACACTGAATGGAAATCATTCATTACAGCTCACAAGTAGCAAGCGTCATTGGTTGTAATCGAAATGGATTATCACTAATAGGTAGCATAACTAAATACATAATGAGAACAGAATAAAGTCTAACAGTCGTTATCATTTTGCACTCAACACTACCGTACCTTAAGCCAGTTTTCTCATATATTCTTCATGGCAAGTTTACGTACTGAATCCAAGCCGCTATCATATAAACCTGCGAAAACCCTCAGCTTATAGAAGCGTCATTTTATCTCTCAGATTCCTGAAAAGCTTAAATCGATTACCTGCTACACCAAATATAGTTGACCTATGAAAATTCACTATCATATATACATGTTGAACTGTATTCCATTTAAAATTCTTATTATTGCTTCCATGCAAATATGTTAGTTGATAAGTCAACCAACCAAAAAGCAACTCGAAGTAAAAAGGAAAGCAGAGCTTATGATTTTCGGTCATGCGAGAAGTCACTGAACCCATAGATTTCCTTTCACTTGGTATTGTGTGCTTGTATCTTTCCATTGTTGTTTAGGATTGCAATTGACCAGTTTCATGTTGGCATATATACATTCTGTGCGGTCTGCCCCGACATTGCCTTAATTCACAAGCTTTATAAGAAAAGATTGATAGTGGCTAGCAGTGGAATCCGGGGCGCGCGTCTCGTCCTATTCGGGACTCGTCAGCTGGATGTACCTGCATTTCAAAGTTGATGTTCACTTCGGTGCTCAAACCCGGTGCAATTCGCTTCAAACGCCGTCCGCGATATCCACTCAGCTACTGAGTCCTGATAGCCACCTGATGGGAGGATGTAAGCAAACAATACCAAGTGAATTTAAACTTTACCGGAGTAACCATCAACCTTGAGATGCAGGTATATGCAGCTGACGAGTCCCAAATAGAACGAGACGCACGTCCTGGATTCTACCGCTAGCCATTATCCATCTCTCCATATATTTGCTGTTTGGAAAAGTTTGTAAACTGATGAAGGAGTGATATACAAGAGGTTTTCAAAAAAAATATTCTCAGAAAAATGAAGATAATATCCTTACGAAAGCGCTTTCACTCAGGGTTCAAACAAGGTTTAGACCATAAAGGACGTTAAAGTCGAAATCGTTTCATTTCGTTGATGTGGACGAGAATGAAGTATAACCACAATTCTATAGCCGTTTCGATTAAACATCCATATGCATAGTTTACACTAATGAAAATTCACTGTGAAGCTGATTTCATGAATTCAATGGGTACGATTAACCGTATTTAAGTGTGAAAACCGGATTTATTAGTTTCCTAAACAAACTGACGTTAGGTTCTCTTGAAAAGCCCAATAATCTTATGTTAAAAAGATAAGAGGAATTGAACACATGCCCCCGAAGCGCTTTTTATGGTGTAATATTACACCAAAATAATTAACTTCATTCGCCATGAAGTTGCAGTGGCAATTAAATCCTCATAATAAATAGTTCTGTAACTACTCGACATCGATTCTCGTTTCATTCGTTTTACTGGACACAACCTAGGTGAACGTACCCAGTCACTCATCCACCCTAGATCACGAGTACGTACTCCGTGCTACTTATACCACTTAACTACTAGCCAGTTTACATCAAACGCTTGTCATCAACCCTCCAAATGTATCTCCCAGCTTATTCACCTCTGACTCTTCATTTGACCGACTTGGTATTCTTCGATTACAATTGTGTTTCAAAAACTAGCATTATCAGACCTGGAACATATGTGTTGTGACGTGATCTTTTACCCTTGACGATAATCTGAGTTTGTTTCCGACAGCCGAATGCAAGGATAGTCAGGCCCGTGAACATGAAATAATGAACAACAAGTCAAGGATGACAGGCTGAAAAGTCAAACGATTAGGAAACAAACCTGAAACACTTTTAAAGATACTTAGTACTTGGGAATCAGATAAATTCCAGTTGCTTGTACGCGATGATGTGACCAGTAAATTGTCACATGTCTGCCATCTATTTTAAGGTTTCAGAAACTGATATAATGAAGGGATTAGTGTTATAATGTAACTTTCTGAACTGTCATACTGAACACTGCTGTTTATATTTTTACTGTATGATTGATAGTCTCTCGAACTTCCGTATTTTTATATTCTTCCATGTCTAAGCTCTTTTAGACCGGTAAACTGTTGCCATATTCTTTATGATTCCAGATCTATCGTTAATTATTTGTTTCTCTCTTACTCATGTTTTGTGTCACTTTCAACTGAGTTATGTACACGTTTAGTTCACTACTAGTATTACTCTGTGGCCAAACGTTTCAGGTTTATCATCGGATGGGTTTTGAGTCATGACTAAACGGATTACAATAGAGAACTAACGTGTTAATTCATCTTTGTTTTCTAGTCAGATGTTCAGTCAGGGGTAGCTTGTGGACCATTGTGCGTGAAGGATTTGCTGTTGTCCATTGGTCAGTATAGTGTGTTAGTTATTAAATGAGGTT